CACCTGATAAATGCCACTTGTTCTCATTGGTCTTCCACGGAATCGCTCTAGCTTAGGATGTGTTATTTGATTGTTGTATCCATAAGTCTCACGGCACTTTGCATGCGTGTATTCTTTAGTTGTCCACTTTCCATACCGTCCTGGGTCAAGTTCATTGAGATCATAGCTTGGCTCACCATTCATTATCCACTCTGAAAGATASTTTCCTATACCACCTATAAGAGAAAAAAATGAATAATGCTGAAGGCTGATGTTTAGGCTAAAGGCTGATTTACACGGTACGATTTGTCGCRCGCAACTTGTAGTATACGAATTGAATCGCGCGGTGTAAATGYCCCTAWGACTTGTCTACAACAGTTGTACGCAACCTATGACTTGTAGTAGGATTTTGAACCACGGCTTAAAATCCTACGACTTGTAGTAGGAAAATCGTATACTACAAGTCGCGCTCAACAAATCGTACTGTGTAAATCAGCCTTAAAAGGTTGGCTTCGAGAAGGAACCAAGAATTAATATAAAGAACAAGTCAGAAATAAATAATTAGAGCAAGTTGTTAAATGGAAAATTCAAGCAAGATAGCAAGATAAGAAAACGATACAAGAGGTATTTATTATATTCAACTGGGGCAAGCTATAGCACTTCAACATCTAGTCATTCCCTTTGTTTTAAGACATRGTCACCTGAGTGAATGATACCATATCCAGTTCCTATAGCAAGCCACATATTTGGCACTTCAATATCAGGTCCTAACATGGCCAGAATGTCTGGTGAATATGTGATTGGACCAGATACCACACTAGAAATATCAGCATTCTGAAGCACAGGGAAACGTTCCATGGCACCTTGAAGGTTGTCGGTAATTCGATCTAGATCACTTTCATAGAGTTCTTTACCAAATCCTGGTGGAACACCATCCCACCTGTTGACAAAGAGTTCAACTTTAAAAAGCACTCTTTCAATTTATAATGCATTGAAATCCTCAATTTGTGAGGTATGTACGTAAGCTGAGTGTGGAGAAGGAAGAGTACTATTCTGCTTAATTTGTTCATAAATATATATTTTAATGACTTCAGTCTCCACACATTGTCCCATCTCTCTGTTCAATGGTAAATAAATATAATATAATTATAGTTAATTTTAATATCTCACCAGTCATCCTGTAGTCTCATTTTATCCATGTGCTCATAAGGTCCAGTAAGCAGTCCATTTCTCTCTCTTCTAAGGTAGTAAGAGTTTTCTAGATCTCTTATAACAGGGAATTCATGCTCCATGGCTGCTACTTCTGGGATGGTTGACGTTACCATATACTGGTGGTGAATAGGAGTGATAGGGTAATCCATACCAACCATTGCACCAATCTCTCTTGCCCAGAAACCTTGTACAAAATAAACAATAACATGATTCAACACATCACAATCAAGCCCCTGAAAATACTGACCAAGTTCTCAAAAGAGCACTAAATCTTATGATCCTCAGTTCATAAAACTTGTAAGGATCTTCGTCATTCATTTTTTGTAATYGTTACTCCTTAAATTGCACTCAAATCCCTAGAACTGARCCTGATTACATTGTATTCCACTGGGATTTTTTTCAGGATCRCATGTAATTTCATTGATACTGTTGAATGAACACAACACAGTGCATAATATATAAATATGTACTGGCCAGTTTGGACAAATTAGAGCACAATCAATCCAAGAGTGTGTTATATACCAAATATTATAATTATATAAGGTGTACTAGAAGGATCTTTTGTTCTACATCCTATGTACAATTACAGGTTCTTATAAACAYATAATACATGAACATGGATCTTGCACTTATTATTCAATACAGAATTCTAGTACCTGCTGCATTCACAACATGWTTAGCTTTGATAACACCATGATCAGTRTGYACATCCCAGCGTCCATCAGYCCTGAAGCTKAGTGCCTTTACTGGTGCCGGCATGTAKATTTCAGCACCATACTTTCTTGCTCCGATGGCATAGGCTTGTGTTAATGAGTAGGGGTCGATATGCCCATCACCTAAGAGAATTTTCAATAACTTATCAAACACATTACAAATTCACTAATAATTGATTAATGATTAATTAATAATCAATTAACAATTAATAATTTACCTGGGTTAAAAAGACCTCCAAGTACATCATCGGTTTTCATAATAGGAACCATCTTCTCTATCTCTTCAGGAGTCACGAGCCATTGAGGAGCCTTATGCCAACCATGTCGAGCCATCTGGTAACGAGCTTCATCCATGCGTTCTGCTGTTGTGCATATTCTTAGACTTCCTGGAGTATGAAATCCAACTTCCTACAAGTTAACATTGCCTGATCATTATAATTGCTTAATATTAATATTTTAAGATATATTGTACCTAAAACATAGTTATTGATCACTGTATTTTCATAATAGCTGAGGTTGGGTTATTCAGCAAAATTTGACCTTATTATCATAAAGGGACCAGCTAACCTAAAATCAATGATGTGAACCTCAATGAAGCCAGTTATACATAAGCTAGAAGTGTGGATAGTTATCTACTCCTTTAGAATTAGAATGGCTGGATTTTATCTGCTGGATGTGATTTTTTCCACAACAGGTTCCTGGCGTGACTCCAAAATTATCACAATGTCCAGTATTTTTACAAAATACAGTACATTACCTGACCAGTCTCCTCTTCTAATGATTCGAATAGCTTGATACTGTAATAATGTAAATGCTTGAGATTGATTCCAGTATTGAAATATGTAGTAAGACCAGCCTATAGTACACAACATGGATCAAATTAGCAAAATACTGTAGTTTCCAGTTAAATTTCAGTGCATCTGTAATCTTAGTAATGCATAGTTGGTCAAAATAAAGAGAGGAAGTTGAGCATACAAGATTGAATCATGKTGAACACAAATTCTTCATTTAATTCATTGTTAGTCTACTATTGTGTCGACTTTGTTACTTACAGCATGCCAGGTTGAGCCWGCAGTAAGTTCAGATTTCTCTAGCAGTACTACATCAGGTAATCCTGCCTTTGCCAAGTGATAGGCAATGCTTGTTCCTAAGCAACCTCCACCAATAACCGCTACTTCAGCATCTTCTTTGAGGTTTTTGTTTAGTGGTCTGTCAGTTGTACATATAAAATACTAGTTAACACAGAAACTATTCAAATGCAACTACATGTATACATTGAAAACTAAAACAATTGCTTAAAGATATTTCTTAAATTAGGTTTGGTTCAATCAATACAACAATAAAAAAGGCAGAAAAATACATGAATTAACATACAAAATACACTGCATAAAAAAGAAAAATGGATTTCTCGTCGAAAGGATGAACAACAATTTTGACGATTCAATGACTGTCAACTATGTTTGTAAGTAAGAGGAAAAACTAGTCAGAAATCGAGAAAATTTGCAATTGTGGTAAAAATGTATATATCCTCCTTCGCTTTGAATAAAGCTAACCATCCAAGCCCCCTGACCTCCCCCCTTTACACCCCCCCCCCTCACTTTTTACTTCAACCTACGATTCCTTATTTTGTTTTGATCGTTAATGCTAGCTTCGTCAAAACAATCTGTGTTAACCATGTAAAAATGAAACTAAATCCACAAGTGAAAGTTTACTAAAGGTCACGGACAAATTCGTGAAGTAAGCTTATGCATGGAGATGATGGAGATCACGCACTATAAGTAATGCTACAATAATAAAAAAACAACAACAACAAAGGCTTTTACCTGCTTGACAAACTCCTTGATTGTATTGGGAAACTTGACAAAGCTCCTGGAAATCCAAACACTGAATTTTGGCGTACAAAATTCCAGGGAAGAGCTAAGATTCGACTACGTGCCACGAAAGAAGCCATGTTTATATTTTCATGGTGAATGTAGCATCGTTTTACAAAGAGCTAAACATTGACCAATCAGCGATAAGTGTTTAGTTGGATTAACCAATCATAAGATCACGTTTTCRCACCGATATCGATTTATTCAGTAGCGGGAAACTTGTATGACTGGGAAGAACAGGTTTAATGTTTTGATTTACAAGTTTTACAAGTAATTCTTGCCWTGCTGGAATTAGAGGTTCTCTTTGATGAGCAAGAATATAATTTTTAAGGCAGAATTCTCTTTGTGGAATCTTTCTCTTTCTAGCGTGAAGCGGTATGCACGTTACATGATGTTCCTAGTTCCTCCCTCCCTTCCTTCCTTCCATCCTTTCTTCTTTCCTTCTTTCCTTCCTTCCTTGGTTTCTTTCATTTCCTTCTCTGTATACCGTTAAGATTCTCCCCTCTTTTTTAGCACGAAATATTTCTCCAATTCTTCAGTCTTCGCAGATTTCCATATCATGACTAGAGCGTTGGGCTACCTGTGCTTTGCGTGACTTCTACTYAAAATGGCGGCCATAGATGTTGACCGTTTGATTGAGATAGCAAAATACTCTTTGATYGACATCGAAGATCCAGTAAACATAGTCCCTGTGTGTTTGATTCTGTTCTGTTTAGTGTTTTCTGGTCGACCACGTGGATTTTTATCGTTTTGGGCCATGTTCAATGCATGCATTATTCACTGTTGGATGGACGGGTAGGTTTATAATGTCAGAATACAGCATGTTTTTTTTTGTCTTCTCTATGCTAGGATCAGGTTGTCAGGAGGTATTCGCGTCTACTCAACATAACTAAAACAGCTAACACGGAAAGAGATTGTGCTGATAGCAAAACACGTCTCAACAGAATCAGTAGAGTTGCGTATGATGAACCGAGCGTAGGATGTTCTCAAAGTCGTTTGAAATTCAATCTCAATTCTCAAGTTCCCGCCACGTTGTATTCAAACGTGCAAATTTCTCGAGAATGGCTGTATAAATCCTGAAAAGNTGTTGTTAGAGCAGAGAGAATGAGATAATAAGATGTATGATAATAAAATCCGAAATCCGCAAAAAAGTATTTTTGGTACCCTCGACTTTTTTACCCTCGACTCTCGACATTCTACCCTCGACTCTCGACTTTTTACCCTCGACTCTCGACATTCTACCCTCGACTCTCTACCCTCGACAAATAGCTACACTCATGCACAGCGCACAATGTTTGATTTTGTTGTTTATGACTTTTTTTCATCGTATCCGTGACAAGTACACGTGGGACACATTAGCTCATGACATGTCAATAATACCCTTTTTTCATCAATAGCATCATAGGTATATTTGCGCGTGGTCCTAAGTGGCTTGTCGAGCAGTATGGTATACTGGACATGAGGTATTGGCTTACACGTGACCCTATGGTTATGATGATATCAGCAGTTGAGTTGGTTATCATGGGACCACTGTGCCTAATATGGTAGGTTAATATATAGTATAATGTAGTTTATGCAACGCCTCGTTTCACAAACCTGCTTGCAGCCCGCAAGCGGCTACGTTTTGCAAGCGCTTTTTGATATTATAGCAAATTTATCTGTGGTTGCTTTTTTACAGTCGTTTTCCAACTTTTATCGTCCTTTCAATTCCCATAATTCAATTTTGTGATTTTCGGCGCGATGSATTATGGAAATGTGCAAACTGAGCCTTTTGTTTTGTTGCATGCCGTTTTCCTGGACAACTGGTCGAATAACTGGCATATTTGATCTCTTATAAAAAAAGACAATTAAATCTTGCGATTGAAATTTCATTATATAATTTAAAGGTACCATTCACTTGTTCAACGCCGTTGGTATAGTGATGTTGTTGCCATTATAACTTCAACTTTCCAACTGATGGGAACAATATTGTACGTTGGTGGGGAAGTATTGGACAACTTTGTGCATCTTCCAAGTGTAAGTATGACGGAATACTGGCCTACTGAAGCGTTATCGCATATTTTTAGTGTTTAAGGGAATGAAAAGCAAATAAAAAATGCATCACTTTATATAGACAAAATATTGTTATTCTACTTTAAAGACCAGAGTGCATTCGAGAACCTTTGCGATATTTTGCTTTGATTTACAAACGAATCTGTTGTCGAAAGTTGCTTTCAGATTGGTTAAAGAATCAAAGATGGCGAATTTTTGTAGGTCAGAAAACCGCGCAAAGATTCTTGGATGYACGTGAGCCTTTGACAATTAAAGATATCTTTCTCTGTTGGCATAAGGAGTTTCTTTTTTAATAAAATCGCATAGGAAGTTACCTGTCTCTAATCATGTAGTAATAACATGTATTTAACAATATTGCTAAATATTGTAGGGGCTAAGATTTGATGTTCAAAAGAAAATCATACGGTGATTTGGGAACTGTGACCAACCATRAYATTCAAGATTGATGTTTYTTGAATTCGCAGGACTGGCCGCCATCTTTTTCCAAGACTAAAGATCTCTTTTATTTCTGGTTTGTCTTTGTATTTTGCAATAGTGTTTGGATCTTCTTACCAATAACTATCATTTCCAAATCGTTCTGGAATATATCTACAATCTACCATCAACAAGTGAAACAATCAAAGCCCGGAGAGAAGAAAAAGAAGGCTTCGAAACAGGACTGAACACTTTGCATTTCTTTGAGCAAGACGTGGCGGGGCGGACTCTTTCTTTAGCAGGGGCGGAACGAGCTGGTGGGTTCAGGGAGTGCGCAACCCCTCCTGAGATCTGTATCCTCCAATACTTTCCTTATTTTGTATCTTCATGATAATGATTTTTGTAGGGTGCACCCCCTACTGAGTGCCCCGCACCCCTCCCTGAGGAAAATTCTGGATCCGCCCTTGTTTAGAGATTGACTAAAGGCGGCTRAATACGAGATACAAAAACCATCAACTTGGCGCGCAACATTGTTTCTGTTCAAGTTGATCATCGAAGTTTATCGTTTTTCGTGCATCGTCAACTTGTCATGCAACAAAAATACATCGTGGAAAACGTGAAACATAGGTGCTCAACTTGAACAGAAACAATGTTTCGCGCCAAGTTGAGGGTTTTTGTATCTCGTATTTAGCCGCCTTAATGTGAACACGTATCAGAACGAAGCTAGAACCATAAAATRAATAAAATGCAAGCTCCTAAAATTGCGTCCGCTTGGTGCTACTCAAATATGATCAGTGCCTGTTTGTACAATCTCGGCCAAAAACCCGTTGAGACACTGGCATTTTTTCACTCCAAAAATATCCCAATTTCCCATATCTCTAAAAAATCACTGATTTTGATCCTCCCCTCCCCCACCAAACAATGTGTGTGTGTGACGTGATACTAGAAGTGTGTACATGATTATTCAGTCCTTTCAACATTGATTTGACTTGACAACATTTGATTTGAGATTTGCACAGAAATACGCAGATCATCGAAATTCAACCTATTTCAAGAAATGTATGTCCCATCTGTTTTGTTCGGGATTGTTAACTTAATTTCTCTAAGAAATATGAATGAATGTCACCCTCCGTAATTTTTCACTGATGCTATATGCATTTCGCCAAAACAAACATGACGTAAAGAGTGACGGGAACGACTATTAAGTAACCATGGTGAAATCATATAAACATTGCCGTGATTAACATCCGCTGTGCAATCAATAGCCTTTCAAATTCGATGCATCCACATCCATAATTTATTTTAATATAYACTAAAATCCCTAACCAGTCGAGCCTCGTACGAACCATTTGATTCAACATGCTTCAATAGTAAACTTAAAACATTCAGGTTATTCCAAAAATGGACATGAAGTTATAATATGCACTAACAAAGAGGTAAAGGATAAGTCTGAACGATGAAAATTTCAGATAACATCATTTTTTGAAACGAGTAAAATAAATCATGAGTATTATGATTCTGATGAATATGACGTCGACACTAAAACAAAAAAACGTACTGCTGGTCAAAGCTCGACATATAAATCTTAATCAAATTACACAATGCTCTGTCTCTAAAACACTTTTTTAATTAAGGAATACTGTACATTTTACCGACTAAATTATGTTTTATTAGCATTACCATTTAATAATTTTATCGCCATTAGGTAGCCATGGTGACGTCAGACAAAGTAAGCTATTAAACCGATTACGAGGTCCAATGAGATACATGCGTACAACATGCAGAGATTTCGGTCAAATTCAAGTCATTAACACCACTCTTTAAGGACATTGCTGACTAGCTTATCAAAACTTTAAGTGGTAAGTGTTTTAAACGTTTTTAATTCAAGTTTTACTAACATAAGTTGTTAATTGTTCGGTATTGTCCAAGAGAGAAATGCTCGAAATACTAGGCTCAGGTTCGGATCTCTAAACCACTTGTAGAAAGCCGTCTGCATACGAACCTGCAAATTGTGTTAAGTTCACTGTCAACTTTACTTGAATAGCTTTTAGTAAGCCTRAATTTTAATCAAAAGTGTCTACTTTTTACATTTTGTCGGAAGTAATTTAACGATTGATCATCACCGTAAATGATGTCGATGATAAAACATCAATTCAGCGAAAAGCAACTGATTTTTAGCATCTTCTTTGCATGGAAATATTTTGAAAATACTCATGATCATCAAACCGTTGAAACGTAATAAAATGTTTTAGYCAAGCTTTGATAATTCATATGCAAATGTTTACGAGAGCTATTAGCTATTGTTTAGTTTAACATGACTAAAATAAAAAAAAAGTATTAAAAAAGCAACTCATTTTGACGTCTCGACTTGACGCAGAGATAAAGTCCTTTTTAGAGGACAACCTCTTATTTTGATTTAGATGTGACGTTTTTGTTATTGGGAAAAGACAAGATTATAAGGATTTTCGACGAAGTCATAAAAACAATCTAAAGAACTTCGTCCAAGCGTTACAAAACAATTGTGTACAGATTTTATAATTACTTTAAGGGACAATTATCGAAGCTATAGAAAATATTATAGATTGAATAAATTGAAGAAAAAGGCACACAACTTGCAACTATTATTCCTACTCTTTATTTGAACGTTTCGGCACTTCGGCCTTCTTCAGCAATATTATAGATTGATATAATCTATACATAAACTGTGCTTCCGTAAGATAACTTAAAAGTTCGGTTATTTCGTTGTATTCAGTGTTATTGTTTATTATGTAGTGTATAAAGAACGAAAGAGTGTGTTTTACAAGCTGKACTTAACTAAAACGAAAAACGCAGGTACGTTTTAGCAAAATATAAAATTCGGATAAGAAATTAGTGTATACGCATATAAAAAACATCTAACTAGCAAAGCGCATATTCAGGTACTTTTGCACTTATTGTTATATAACATACCCCATGGAGAGATTTTATTAGATTGAAGAAAGGTAATTTGTGGTTCGCCTCATCTTTTATTAATAATATGATTTTTTTGAAAGTGTGTTTAAAAAATACAAGTACTCAGTGCAGTTTTAAAACGCCAAATTAGTGCAAGCAAAGCATATCTAAATCCGTGCCTATAACGAAGTCAATTAATGAAATTGAATAACGTATCACGAGTGTAAGGTAAAAATATAATCCGTCATTAATATTTCTTGCGTGTTCAATTCTTGGTGTTCCATCCAACATGGCGGCGTTCTTTTTTGTCAGTAAGGAACCCTATGTTAAATTCGTTTTCAGACCGTTTKACAGCGAGCAATAATAACAAAAGACATACTGGCAATCAATGATAGTCGACAAAAACTACCTAATTTGATAATGATGACATCAATTTAATTTGATATATCGTTTTTTTTAAAGTTGTAATCTCATTACACTTAAGAAACGAGATAATTCGATAAATTGTATAAGATAACAATCGATTGAAAAGAAAGCGAACTCAGGTTTAATTGATTAATAAGTTTCGTTTTCAATTCTGTAATGTTATCGCTGCTCGTTGCTATTGTTGTTGCTGTTTTTTTTGTTTGTTTGTTTTTTACTCGCTCTCCACTTTCTTTCCCTCCATCTATCTCTCTATCTCATAGTATTTACCCAAAAACATAAAAGCCTTCATTGTCTAAAATGCTGCTCAAATATGTTTGCGTGTGTAATAAAGCTTGGATGTGGCAAATAACCAAGGTCACTTTGTTCAAAATAAATACAGTTACCTTGACAGAGTACATATGTCAATATGAATTTAGTCAAAAAATAAATGAAACTAAAAAAAATAACTTTCTTAAAACTCGTAAAGATAGCCGATTYTAATTGAATTAATAGCGTGTCGGAAGTCTTTTGAGAGGAATTTCCTTTTCGATCGTACCTAGCACAGATTACTGACATTACTTGCCAAAGAAACTAGTGACAATCCATTTATCAGCAATAAGCGTTATTGAGGAAAATCWGTAATGATCAGAGACAAAATAATTATAAACATACTATCTAGCTATTGGTTGTCATGAAGGAAAATGTTGTAGATACTGTTTAGGAAAAGGCGTTTACGATTAGTGCATCAAATCTGAATGCTGTATCAAATGTTTTCGCAAGAAACTTAACTTGAACGCGACCGAGGATGATTTTGAACGGGAAATTTCTCAGGTTATTTTTTCTTACTACTATATATTCGATTTCTCTTCTTTTTTAAATTAAAAATATAGAAAGACAGTAAATATTAACTACAAMATTGCTTTTTTTTAAATCAAGAATATGGAACTTTGAAATGGCAAGAAACTGATAGAAAATTGAGCTATAAAAATTTGGTTGCAACGTTTTGCTAGTGGTCCAAGATGGCGTCCGCGCAATTAATGTCTTGTGTCTAAAATAAGATCAAACTCAAAGAGACACAGTGCCGCTAGCTTGTTTTCATTCAGATTTTATTTCATTGTCCAACTATTGTCAATAAAGTACACAACCTTATATGCATAGGCTAGCAACGAAATCGCCCTTCAAGAATTTAATCATTCTGCCTCGTATTCGACATCACTGTCA